AAAAATAAGCTGGGGGAAAAACATCTTTGTATTATCAGCCCACCGGGGTCTTGCACCAAGTGCAATCCTGCAAATACAGTAGATTTTGACCAAGAATCTATAAGAATTACAAAGAGATGCTTCCCTGGTATCCGGAACACTAATTGTACACTAGATAGCCCAAAATTCGTGAACAGCTGGCCAAAGTCGCATTTAACCTGTAATTGTTCTTTCTCAAAATATTATAATGTGTCGAACATTTTACAAGGGGAGAAAAAGAGGAGGTGGCTGTTAAGCAAATATAAACTAAATGAGCTTCTTTTTTTGGAAAAAAGTCTTCAAGTGCCACACTTGCAAGCCTGCCACGGATAAACAGACGACGATCGAAAGAAAACTCAACCAGGCCATTTTTACATTAGTAGACATGTTCAGATCTTGCATTTCTTCTTCTCTGCAACAAACATTAAGCACGTTACAAAAGAGTTTTTTGTCCAAATAAACTACAATCCCGCAAGAAAATGGAACATTTAAGCTTGTTAGCTCTCATAATTGTCAGAAAAAACAGATAAATCTTCACCTTTCACGAAGATAATTCATTTCCTCTTGAACGGAAATAACTGTGTCATACATTTTCTTCAGCTCCAATTCCATAACCTGGTGTTAATGATAAAAGTAAATGGGTAAGAATCTTTCTGTGTTTCGAGTCTGACATTTTCAAATATAAAACTAAAGTAGAATTGGTGAAACAACATCACACAGTATCACAAGACGTCACTGAGGAGAGTGGTATTATGAAACAATAGATGACAAGTACTGGAGTCGGTGTCTGCCTCAGTCTGCAAAGCAGCTGCAAACAGCAAATCACAGGTGGTGTTTGATAGTTCAACTTAAAGCTAAGTGCTAGATCCTGGAGGGTTTCACGGTTTGATAAAAATAAAGAAGAAGCATGGCTCTTGCCTTTGGGTTAAGATCATCTTCCATCACCAGTTTTTTTTTTCCCTTGCAGAACCCCTTCAATGGGATTTAGTTGCAATGATATGGATTAGATAACCACTTTAAGATGTTAATAAAAAAAGGGAAAGAGTCTTCAGCTTCAAACCTCAGCAAAGAGATGAAAGGCTGCTTGAAAGTCAGCTGTCAGGCAGGAAGGATTGCTACAATAAGCGAGAGCTTGGGTTATAGAAGAAGGAGAAGGAACCGAGAACAAGGTATCAGCAACAGCAGGTTTTATTACAGGGTAATATTGTTTTTCTTTTTAGTTGAATCACAAGGCTTGTGGCTTTCAACTTGCTGAACGAAAAGACTATTTTTAGGCTGCAACCTTTTAGACAACCACTCTAATAACTCTTTCTAAAACTGTAATTCCTTCTCCTCATGTGTTAGTACAAAATTATAATGGCTGCGATTAAAACCATCCTTGTTGTTCCTCTCTTATCTGACGACACATGAGTTCCCAGTTAATCATGCCATTCTTGCGTATGACATAGTTCTTTGATAAGCCATTCTAAATGCATCATTTGAAGCTAGCATTGCTGTTAGTAGACCGGTTGTTCACCATGAAAGTCAAATGAAATTTCCCTATAACACCCAGCAATGCCTACTTACAAAATGTCAGGTGGCCATGTCAGGGTTATGCAAATCAAACACCCACGATAGTTTAGTTCCATAGAGAATCCCCATCTTTTCTGCTACCGCTTATTTCTTCTTAGTTCTTACCCCCACCTGGGTTGGCGCTACAACTTCATAGCTATACATTAGGCTCCTTGGGTGCCTAAAATAACATCTCTTTATTCCTATACATCACCTAATCTTATAGTGTGAGATCACCATCCATTTGATAACCTTCCATAAGAACTGCAACGGAGTATTTCCTCTGATATATCAACTAAACCAAACCCAAACTAGCCTTGAACTCGACAGCTTCGTTCCCTTCATTATAGAATACCCAATACTTACTCATAGTATATGAAAATTATGACTATTACACAAAAACCAAATAAAAGCAGCCTCAAATTCAGAAATTAAAACAGGGCAAAAAAGAATCAATAAAGTTGACTTACATCAACAGAGCCTTTCTTGGCAACATTAGTCCAATCCTTAGCAGCCACACCAGTCTTCCAATCAAAATCAATATTCAAAGTCACTGCTGGCTTATGATCCGCCGCCCAAAAACACGCCATGTAATCCCCTGCCTCCGACGCCGTGAAAGCAAACTGCCCTGATTCCACAAGCTCTGAATGATGATAGTTATTCCCATAACTCGATGTCACCTACACCAGTAAAAAAAAATAAAAAATCACAGGCAACCAGAAGAAAATTGAAAAGGAGATCAGGGGTCTTTTTAAATAATCTTACCCTGACAGTGAGTTTATGCGAGTCGGGCAAAGGCTTGCCATCATGGGGGTTAACAATACTGTATTTCCCAACAGTCATAGAATTGCTTTTGATGTCTTCTGCTATGCATTTCGTGTTTCCTGATTCTAGCTCGAAACGAATAGATTTTGATGTAGAGGATAAAATCGCAATCACAGTTGTTATTAGAAGGAGATAAAGGTTGAATCTTGACATAATGGTGGTGGTAGATTGCGAGCTGAGATTGTTTTATGAACTCTCGGATGGACAATTTTTTTTTTTAATTTTTTTTCCTCTCCTTCTCTTTAGGTTTGCTTTGAGGCGAATCGGTATCGGTTTTGCTAGCAAGAGGAGGAGGTCAGAACAGCGATTGAACTATTGACAGCTGGTAGCATTTGATTGGTTGAGACACGTAACTGTACAGAATAAATAAATAAAACTGTCTGGTTTGCTTCGTGGAGTCCATTTGTGTTTAACAGCTGTAAAGCCCTGCACTGTGAACTTGATGGGCTTCTCCCTCTGTACCAAACCAAATTGGACTCAGATTCGAGGATAGATAAATTATTTGAAACTCTCTCCTCGTCCAAGGCTTCATGCTCGATGAGTTTTTTTCTGCTTTTAAAAAACAGATGAATTGGTTCTTTTTGTTTATTCCAGGTTCCTTTTTCAATTTATTTTATTTTTATTTGAAAAATAAATAAATAAAATATTTTAAAAAACTGGACAACTTTAAAAGACTAATTTATAATTTACTCTTTAAATCAATCTATTAGAAATTAATGGACATGGTGGGTTAAATAGGGAATAATATAATGAGGTTATCTAACCATTTTCTCAGGTTGAATTAATATATTGAGCAAATTAGATTGTTGCAAGTCAAAACTATATCATTTTAAAAAATAAAAATATTAAATTATACATGTATTTTAAAAAATAATATTTCCATGTAGAAATAATATAACTATATCCTTTTTCTTTACACTTGTTTTTGGAAGACAAAAATATTATTTTTTAATTTCAAAGTATTTATTATTCTATATATGGTCTATTTATACTATTTTTTTTGTTTCTCATCTTTATTTTTTTTTATAAAAATATTTCTTTACTTTTTTATAAAAAAATTATTATACAAATATTAAAAAATGATGTGTTTCATTGTAATAATTACAATGTTATTATATTTTTTATTTTATTAAAAATTAATTTGATACCTTTGAAGTTTTTATCAACATATATAATCTTAAATATATTTTATTATATATAAACATACTTATCTGCAGAATAACATTTGAATCTATTAGTATAAAATTATCCGACCGGTCGAACGTCATTAAACAATTCGTTTGGATAAAAAACATTTATAGCCCTTGAATTCACTTATTTAATAACCATATTGTTTTTTTTTTCCCTCTTATTTATCTGAATCAAGGCTTATGAAATACATGTGGCGGGGGATGATAATTAAGAGAGAAGAAAAGAAAAATCAACTGTTAATTTCTGAGACAAGGAGTCCTTGGTCTGCTCAGTTAGCTGATGGAGACATTGATGTTCAATGTAAGGATACGGAGATTGATCAGTTTGTAGACAAGAAACAGGAAACAAATGTCCTTTCCTTTTCAAACCACCTTGTCATCATCGATCGTTTCTTGTCTTGAATTCGTCAACAACAACACGATGAATTTTTTTTTTTTAGTTTATTTGTTTACTGCGGTATACAGTTCAATATAAATCAAAGGGATATTCAGTACCAGATAAAAGTAGCCAGAATGATCATCACATCATTTTAACTGATTAAACCAAAGAATTTATCTACTAATCCCTGCATTATCTACCAATAATCTATCCTAAAAAGAAAATTTATTTATTGGAGATCAAGATATTAATTTATGTATGGTTTGAATTTGTACCTGACAAATATACACCCAAACAGAAACCGAATTTTGAAAAGAAAAATTAAAGCAAAGACACCAAAAAAACACTTTTCATTTTTTTTGGAGTCTGTTTGTTGAGATATAATTTTAATTTATCCGCTCCTTGTGATTTTTCTCGTGAATCCCCTCTCTTCACACTGTTTTCCCCTCCCTCTTTCCTATCGTGTGAACTAATTGAGAGATTTGATCGACTCGTGATCCTCTCATACCTCTCTCTTTTTTTTTTTATTGTATAACAACGTTCTTATCGTTTCCCTCATTTATATTTATCCTCTTTTTTTTTTGAAGGACAAATTAGCACTGTAATTCCAGCCCGCAATGTGGATTTTCTTTTTATTTCTAAAAATAATTAAAATTCAAGAGCGATCAGATTTTTATTTCTTTATTTTTTGTAGTTTATTGTAAATGAAGAGAAGGCGATGAGGAGAGAAAGAGAGAAATGGAGGTTGTTAGATCTGAGAGCGGAGTAAGGAGCGAGAAAATAGCAGCGCCGGTGGCTACAGTCATTGCTAGAACTAAGCGATTTCAAGTTTGGTTTATTAGGGTTTGTTCCAGTATTCTTTTATGGACCTGTTTGGTTCAGCTTCTTACGGTTGGAGAGTTATGGCATCCCAGTTTTATGGCCAACACCACCGTCTCCATCGTTAAATCCCCTCATCATCCCCCACCCCGCCTTCCTCTTAGTAAGTCCTCCTCTTTATCCTTTTTTTTTAAAAAAAAAATTATTGATTTTTTGACTTCGAATTTATAAAGGGATATATTTTTTACTATTGAATTTTTGAATTTTTTTTGGAATAAATGGGGTTTCTCATGTTGAAATTCTGAATTCTTATTGGGGGCAATCTGACATTGCAGTTTGTGATCTTGGTTTATAAGAAATGGGGGGCAATCGAGATCACGGATGTGTGTGTGTGTGTGTGTGTGTGTGTATTACAAGTAGTAAGGTTTGGTATTTTGTTTATGTCCATCTTGTTTTTAAATAAGCTGTTGATTATTTTATATAGTTAAGAGAAGCATTCAGTAGCAGAAAAACCATGTGATTTTTGTGGGTTTTGGAGGTTACTTTCTGCTTCTGACTGGCTAGATAATAGATTTTTGGTTATATTTTGAACTAAACCCAATCCCCGTGGCATTCTATTAATGGATTGCTGGTGTATGGTGGTTATGTAATCTTACATTATATAGTTAATGTAGAGTTTTGGAATTTTTAAGAATCTTTGATTACAGTTCAAGTGTTTGCTTTGAGTGGTTTGGACATTTTAGGTCTGCAAAATGATTAGACATGATTTGGAATCAATAAAGTTTCGTTTTTTTGGCCTTTCAATTTCAAAATTCTCTAAAATTTAAATGCTAATATCTGAGTCATAATTATTGCTTCTCTGGGCTCTCTAATGAGACCTTGATTTGATCCAAAAGTTCCGTCTTAGTTGTTCCTTTTTAACTCTGAGCTTTCTGCCGTGACTGATTCTGGCGTCTGAATTAAAGTTCATGATTTGGTGCTCCAATTCTCAAAGAGGTTCACCATTTGTATAAACACCTTCTGTTTGAGTTTTACATGCATCTGCAATTAAAGCTTTAATATATTGAACCTCTCAAAAGTCCAAGTCTTCTTTTATAGATAACATTAGGTTCTTTATATGTACCAAGACATCAAGAGCTGCAATTTTTTGCAGGAAACTATACAAGTAATGGCTATCTTAAAGTGTCCTGCAATGGTGGCTTGAATCAAATGCGATCTGCGGTTTGTACTTATTCTTTTGCTAGTTTTTTAATTGTTCTTCAGGTTTTTTAAAATTGGCTAGTTTGGGATTTCAGATATGTGACATGGTGGCTGTTGCCAGGCTTTTGAATCTCACTTTGGTTGTCCCGGAACTTGATAAAACATCTTTCTGGGCTGACAACAGGTATTTTTTCTGTTCTTGGCATGCTATCATATTTTTTTCCTTTTTGCAGTTCTGTAATATTAACTGTACAAATTCTTTCTGCAGTACTTTTGAGGAAATATTTGATGTGAAGCATTTCATTGACTCACTAAGAGATGAAGTTCGGATTGTCAGAAGGCTTCCAAAGAGATTTAATAGAAAATATCGATACAGAGTATTCGAGATGCCTCCAGTCAGTTGGTCACAGGAAAAATACTACCTGCAACAGGTTTAATTACTTTTTACTAGCTTTTGTCTGTGGAAAGTATGTTTATACCAATCCTCATTTAACAGTTTGTGTAAAAATCAGTAGATGAGTGTGCATATACTTTACTTTAAAGCTGGGTTCTTAGATGCTGAATTATAGTTTCAATTTTGCTAGGCATATTAGCTGGTTGATCCGAGAACATCACATAAGTTCTTTAGAATGAAGGCTCTGATTCAGAGATCCGCTAGACTGTCAAGAAAGTCAACTTTATGCAACTTAGTGGATTTTCAAGAATTTCACATTTAGTTAAGAACTATAGGTGGCTGGAGATCATCTCCTTCACCCCCAGTTGCATACAGGGATTCCCATGATGCGGGATTTGCATGTCCTAAACCATGATGCAGAAGTGGATGATGAATTGAAACAGCTGTCACTTCCCGTGTGTGTGTGTGTGTGTGTGTGTGAAGTTACAGCATAAAGTGTGGAATTATTAACCTAACCAACTGGGGTAAAGAGCACAGAGGTTGAAATTAAGATGAAAATATTTGAGTACACTGAATATGGTAATTAGAAGATTTGGTTGATTCTCAGTACTGTAAATTACTATGTACAACGCCACTGCAAAACTCTTGTGTAAGAATGGATTAGGGTTGTGGTTCCGATTTATAAACTTTGAAAGTTTTGATTTATTTATTTGTTTCAATGTTCAAGGTTTTCAAAGTAAAGTTAAGCTATGTGAGCTGAATGTATGATTTATGATGATGTTTCCACTTTCCCTTAATAATACTTCTTATTTAATGACTTTGACGTGGTAATGCAGATACTGCCACTTTTCAGTAAGCGAAAGGTGTTGCACTTCAATAAAACAGATACGCGTTTGGCAAACAATGGGATTTCAATTGATCTTCAGAAAGTCAGGTGTCGTGTTAATTTTCAGGCACTGAAATTCACTCCTGAAATTGAATCTTTGGGGTACAAATTGGTTCGCATTCTACAGGAAAGGGGGCCTTTTGTGGCTTTGCATCTGCGATATGAGATGGACATGTTGGCTTTCTCAGGTTGTACTCATGGCTGCACCAAGGAAGAAGCTAAGGAGCTCAAGCGCTTAAGGTTTGTTGTATTGAAAAATTTGCTCTTCTTTTTGTTTTTTTTTTTTTTCATTTTCAGTATCTAGTTTACAATCCCACTAACAGTATTGTTCTGAAAAAAACAGTCTGTCTTCAATCTTAATCACTATTACTCTGCTTAGCTGCCACAGGCTCGTGTTAGAGGTCTGCCTTTATTTAGTAGTTGATAGGAGATACTTAACTTGATAATGAAAATAAGTAAATTGTTTTCATTGCTAAGTATTTGACAGAATAACTAGTCTACAATCACCTTAAGAAAGGATGCCAACTTTGAAGCAATCAATTATTTTCATCTGTTTTTTTAAGTTGCAGTCAGAGTGGCTTTATTTTGTTGTGGCATTCCTCAGTGTGATAATTTCTTTATTGCACTTGCATATTCCATTTAGGTATGCATACCCTTGGTGGAGAGAGAAAGAAATAGTGTCCAAGGAGAGAAGATCACAAGGTTTATGCCCATTGACACCTGAGGAGACAGCATTGATTTTGCTGGCATTGGGTTTTGACAAGGACACACAAATATATATTGCAGCTGGTGAGATATACGGCAGTGAACGGAGACTTGCGGTCCTAAGAGCTGCATATCCGAGGATTGTGAGTTATTAACCATTCTTTCCGTTGTTTTAGTCAAATGTCAGCAAATCTGGCCAAGTGCTTTGCAACACTCAGAAATGTGTATAAGAATACAGTACATGTCGAATCCCATCTGATTGATTGTCCCACTATGCCAACTGATGGGTTTGAATCTGGAGTTACAAAGCAGTTGTATCTTTTGTATTATTATTAAAGCAATGAACTAGAGGGCCTCATTAAGGGGCCCCATCAAATAGTCTGCGCTGACTATTGGAATATGCATGTTAATAACTAATTCCATATAGTTGAATCTAGTTTGTTATCATTTTGATTGCATGTTTGCATATTTCTTCTTTATCTCAATGTCAAAGGTTATTTCAGGTGAGAAAGGAAATGCTATTAGATCCAGGGGAGCTGCAGCAATTCCAGAACCATTCATCTCAAATGGCTGCTCTCGATTTCATGGTCTCAATAGCCAGTGACACTTTCATTCCCACCTATTATGGAAACATGGCAAAAGTTGTGGAAGGTCACCGCAGGTACAAACACCCATTCTCACAAGGGGTGTTTATCTTATATCATTTTACCAAGGAAATAAATCATATCAGTTAAAGCATCCTGCAAAAGTCCTGATTAGTGTTTGTGCAGGTATCGTGGGTTTAAAAAGACAATCCTTCTAGACCGTAAAAGACTTGTAGAGTTGCTGGATTTGCATCAGAATGGGACACTCTCATGGAATGAATTTGCAGTTGCTGTTGGATCGGCACATGAGAAGAGGATGGGACAGCCAACTCGACGTAGGGTTATTGCAGATAAACCAAAAGAGGAAGATTATTTTTATGCAAACCCTCAAGAGTGCCTTTGTGAGGGAGCAAATTGTGATGATTTATTAGGACCTGGTAACTCAAGTTCAATTCGGTGACTGCAACAAAACCAAGCAGATTGAGATGGTGTTCCACTTAATTTTTCTTAAAGCAGTGTGGTGCACATATCATGTGGCTTTCATGGCTGGACTCCCTAATCGGCTCAACGTATACACACCTACCTTAAAGATTTGTAAGGAACGACAGAACAGAACCTTTGAGTGCCCATTCTGGCTATCAAAGTCACTCGCTCTTCAATTTTTTTTCCCTGTTGATATATTTATTCATTTCTTTTCCAGCCGAAAGTTTGTTCAGGAATGCCACATGATCCCACAGTTAAAAATTTACGACGGTAGTCTTTACTCTGATGCAATGCTTTGTTTGCTGCAGAACTCTGTTTGTGAGCTAACAGAAACAATGACAATTATAGACCCAGGAAAACGGTGAAGAAAGATTGTAAATGAAAGAAATGGATCATTTTCTTTCCTAATGCAAAGTGAAATAATACAGAAAAGCTGATCTTAAACTCTGCACGAAGTGGCCAACTCAATTTCAAAACTTTCTTGGCATGCAAAGCGCCATTATGTTTCCCTTAAAAACAAAAATGGGTTATAATAACTGTTTCTAAGAAAACGTATCTTTGTCTGGTTGCTTTTACTTGGATATGAATACTTGTAACTGATACGCATGCGAACTGCCAAGGGTGTTCTTTCCTCGCTATAGAGAACTCCATGAAGGGCGTCCAGAAAGTAATGGCCTCAGTATCCAGAAATATAATTTCACCTTGCTTCCCAACGAGACCAGGACCCTTGGGCCGCCTCCTCTCTTGGTATTCCAACTCATCCAAATCTGATTCCCTCTGCTTTAAAGCCTCATCGATCCTCAGCACCTTCTTTTCCCCTGTTCTTATTCCAACTGCAATCTCAAGCCTTGTGTTGAGTTCAGCTTCTCATTCTACAGTCCAATCTTGTATTCAGTTACTTCAAGCTTGACTCCACTAATTGAACATGAAACAATCGACATTAGGATTTGGAAAGCAAGTATAGCTGCTACGGAACAGGGGACAGCCGCTGTGTGCCCAGAGAAGTAGATTGCTCTGAAGCGTCTGGGAACGTTCTTTCTTGATCGAAATGTGCATTAGACTAGCTTTATTAGAGCTCAGTTATAATATATGTATATGTGGAGTTTTTTCATAAAAAAAAAAACCAGAAAGATTGAGAGCTGAATCGAAAGAGAAGAAGAGAGGAAAAAGAGAAAGGAAGGAGATGAAAGTTGGAGACAATGGGTTTTTAAGGTAAGGATTGTACTTTGATATACATGATTGTTGTTGTTAATTTTGATTTTGATTTTTATTGGGGTTTCTAAAGTTTGAACTTAATCCATGATTGTTATGGGTAATGGTGAAATTAATTGATTTTGTTACAAATAATGATTTTGAGATTGATGTGTAAGAGGTGTTAAGAAGTTTATAATAACATTTGCTGGAAATCTGGACAAGTTTGATTTGAGGTTTTAGATGGTTCAATTTCAATTTAGTTATTGATTTGATGAAATTACCGTTTAGTCTCTGAATTTTGAAAAAATTAAAATTTGACCCATGAAACATATTTTGAAATTCCAGAGAGAAGTGATTGATAGGTTAAAAGATGATGCAGTCTTGATAGGTTAAAAGGTGATGAAGTCCAATTTGGCCATCGCGTTATTATATTTTTAGTTTAGTCATTGGATAATATAAAGTTATGATTTGACCCCTATATTTCAGGAAAATTACAAATTAGTCCCTAATTATAAAAGACATATTTCAGTTGGATCCCATCATGTATATCAGAATAATTGATGATTTATTATCAATTATTATTCATTAGCTTTTCATACAATCATCTTTTATATATATATATTAGATTGACTGCCTTTATTAATTAGATTGACATACTAATGTATTTTAGGCTCATAGAGGTTTCATCGTCTGTTCCTATGTAATAGGTGGATTTTATGCTTAGCTCAGTTTTTGATCGTTGTAATATATATATTATGAGTAAATAATAACGAATATGCCTATGAGAATAAGACTAATAATAATAATAAATATAAATATAAATAGTATTATATTTGAATTAAATATGAGTAGTTTGATTATTTATTTTTGAATTGTGTGATTTTGGAAATTGGAATATTAATATGATATGAATGGTAGAGTTATCCAAGTCAGAATATCTACATTAACATAACAATGTTATTTTTATGCGCATGGCAGAATCTGATTGCCTTGTATGGCTGGGTTGACACTAGTATATGTAAAAGGCCATCACACAGTATATTCTAATGCTCTCCCTGGAAGGGGTTATTTTGCTTAGATGTATGACGCGAACACGTTTCTTTTCCCTCTTATTTTTATAACTGATTATAGGACTTGTAGCCCTCTAGAAAAGTAACATAACTTCTTTTTATTATTATTATTATTATTAATATAAATATTTAAATCAGTTTATATATATTTTAATTAATTTTATAAATTTTAAAGTTAATTATTATACAAACCTTCGATAACCTTAAAAAAACTTAAACTTGTAATTATTGAAAAAAAAATTCAAGATTTGAAAAGATACATAACTTTATACGTGTTATTGATTTTGATTTGTTTAATTATATTTTTATTATGTGTAAATATAATGAATTAATCACATTATAACTTTATAACTTGGCCTATTATTTATATGTTTGGCATTATTTATTCACTAAAATATGGAAAACTCACCATTTTATCATTTATTATTCGATTTTTTTGAACACCCCTAGTGTATATTAGTTGATCCAGTACAACTTGTTAGAAAGGAGTTACTGTCTATACTCTAAGTTCAATAGTTTCTAGGTTATTCTTTTTGGATTGAGCTACACAATTACAATTGTTTATGAATTATTCTTTTTAAATGACACGTGTATGCAGTCTAATAATAGAAATGGATGGTTGATTTTTATATCATTGATTTTTTTTTATTTTTTTTGTTATGATAGAATTATGTTCAAGTGAGGTTAAGAATAGATGAGTCGATCCAGAAATACCTTAACCTATATACCAATTATGTGCTCAAATTTGGATCATGATGGTAACCAAGGAAAAACTATGAATAAAGCTCAAGTTGCTCCACAACAATATTCTCAAGCATAATGAAACAAACATATACAGGTGTTAGCAAACATTAGTTCTCAGCCATTACAAGCTCCATTGCCTTTAGTGACATAGATAACTGCTGAATGATTTATTCAAACATAACTTGGTAACCTTGTTAAATGCCCATATAAGACGGGACTGTAAATATACTGCTTTTCCATGCTAAAGCCAGTCACATAACATGATTCACAAAATTACAAACATTTAATGTGCTTATATAATCAGTTACCTCTTTAATAATGGTTTGATATCCAAAAAAAAGAAGGAGCATATTTGAAAGCATTAATGATGTAGTTAGACTTATAATAACAAATAATTTTAAATAATTAGTTGTAAATTTATCATAACTAAATTATGATATGTTCTAGATAAATTATACGAATGATCTAATAAATATATTTATAGATTAATAAGATAGATCTAAACTCAAGAGATTGTTTGATCATACCAATTTATAATAATAAGTTAAAAGAGTTATTATTTTTTATTCGATATTTAAATCATGTTTAAATTTTTACAGGAATTTCTGGATGTTAATTTCCTTAACTATTGAATTTTTAAATTTTAAAAATCTCATCTTGAAATTCTAGTTTTTATAATTTTTATGATTTTTTTTGTTATTTTTTTATCTTTTATTCTTATTTTTTTTTAGTGTTTTGTATACCTTTTAAGAAAAAAGGCTATATTATTATTATTATTATTATTCTATAAAAAATAAAACTGTAAATTTGGGTTCACCGACAATTTTTTTTGTTCATAAGATTCTCATGTTCTTTCTTTGCTTTGCTGTCTTTCTTCAATTCCCGCTGCATCAATCTCTGACCACCCTGCGTATGAGCTCCTCCTTAGAACGGCTTACTGGCACTTCAAGATGGCCCCATATAGTGTTTCTGTAAATAGATTCCAACAGGAAAGCATCGGTACCCCCAAGTAAATAGATTCCAACAGGAAAGCATCGGTACCCCCAAGTAAATAGATTCCAACAGGAAAGCATCGGTACCCCCAAGCGTTCCCAGCCTCAGATATGGAAGCAACGCTGGTGGAAGAGCATTTTGCCCGAAACAATGTCGAAGTTGTGGGTCAGATTTCAATCATATGATTAGAAGTTCTTTTTCCTAGTGAAACCTCGGAGTTGTGGGTCCCTGGTGTTTATGAGGAGACTTGTTTAGCTAATTCCTGATGCATGTTTAACTATTTCCAGAGTTCTATAAAACAGGCTTCAACCTCAAGAATCACATACCAGAAATCCAATTACTTTCCATTTGTTGATCTCTTTGTTATTTAGAGCAAAATCGTAACTAGCACTCAACATTACTACCCATAAGTATTATGTACTCTGTACGCTTGAACTTGACGTGGAAGATTGACTTGAAGAAAGAAGAGAGAGAGCCTAGGGGGTCAAAACAAGGTTTTGACCACGGATACTTGAAGACGACCGTGATCTGAGAATCCCAAACGCCCTAAAGAAATCATCCAATGTTACAGGGGAAGGAAGGAATGTACTGTTAGTTATTCTTTTGGTTCCCCTTGAAAAACAAGAAGACATAAAGAAAAAAAAAAGAAATATATGACCAGCTAAAAGTAACAAGAATATTTACACCATGGATTTTCTCTTTACTAATTAATTGTATCTATTTTTTTCTACAAAATAGATTTAAAAAGTAACTAATAGGACGTGAATAGTAATAAAATTTCTCGATTCTATTGTATTTTTTTTTATTCTCTGTCTTTATTAGTGGATATATTTTTAAGCAGTTTGATAAATTCACTTAATTCCTAACTTTTAATTTAAGAAATAAAACATATTTTCTTGATCATCAAGCTAATTCTTTAATATATATAATACATATCATATCATGGTTTAGTAATTTAATCTAGTGATATCATGTGCTGCTTCCTCTCCTCTCACAAGGTTAAAGAATGAGCGAGCGAGAGACTTGGTCAGCCAATGTCTCTTTTAAATTCACTTTCGATAAATTTATCGATCACATTCTCATAATTGCCGAAATATCTAGGCCAATAATTGCTCACCGAGTCCTATTTACTATCACTGTACATTGCTTGACTGAGAGTTAGAGATGAAAGCGTAAGATTTCGGGATTGCTTATCTCATCGATTACAGAAAAAGTCCTTTCTTATAACTTACAAGAGAAGTCCTGATAGCAGGATCCACTTAGCATTTTAATAAATAAAAAATATATCCACATCACAAAACATATATAGCAATATATATCACGCCAGCATGGGAGTATTCTAAATAATCAGGTTTGACAATAATGTCTGATGTGCTCCTCCACTATCCCTAGGCAGCGCCATACTTGACCGGAGAAAGAGCAGCATTCAAGGAACTACTACTTGTTCGTTCACATGTCCGTCCATAGGCAATTTTTAATTGTGCCCATCCCAACGCATAATCTTAAACACCAAAGTTAGCATTCAAACTTCCTTTTGCAAAGTTAGCAAGGAAACATCTTCTTTCCCCCCACCCCCCTTTTTTTTAGTCTCGCCGAGGAAACGTCTTTTGGTGACTTTTCCTTGTTGTTGTACCCAGCTAGCTAACCAGGAAACGCCAGAGACTATCTCCTACCAACTCCTCCTTTTCCAATCAATTAGATAATATAATTTTCCTTTATTGATACAAAGGTTTCTATCTGATACGTATTAGATGACCTTCTGTGCTTGATTATGTGTTCTAATTAAGATGGTAATCTAATACATATATATCAGATATTTACATATTCGTGTTTTCTACTTGCAGTGGAAGGCGTAGGCTATGTCGCAATATTCTTTAACAGTAGATATTTGGTGTCCTTAATATCATTATTTGTTTATTTATTTAGGAGTATCCCATCATATTTTATAATATTGAAGTCAACGTTTTTCTTTTCCATGGTAATTACGTAAAGATGTAACTATATAAATTTAGACCTTTAACCTCATGAAGGAGTCCTCTGTAAAGAACTCATCGAGTACCATTCCATCAAGTTGATGCTGTCATTATTCTTTTGTAATTAATTATGTTATTGTAAGTTAATGTTATGATTCTATAGAATTAAACTGTTCTTAGCTTTTCATGTCAGAAGTTAAGATATATAACATGATCGTAAGTATGGCTTGCTCATTGCTGTGTATTAGTGGATTCTGCCAACTTTTATCTATGGGTAGTTAAAATTAATAAATCTCAGCATATTATTGATTTGATCCGATGGTTCTCTGAATTTGCAAAAGAAAGATATGGGTTTTTCTGTGCTTGAGGAAGCGTTGGAGGACATATATATCAACAGAAAACCTAGATTTGTTTGGATCAGCCGTTAATTTTGAGAATTTCTTAGCGTCTTAGTTTTTATCCCTTCATTACCCCTTTTCAAACAAGGTTGAAGATGATGGTTTAGTTGTGATTAGGCCACTGTGAATGTATATTGAAATGTCATTTCAGTCCTATCTGTTAATATATTTTTCTTTTATAGTTTAAAAGAACTAAATTAGTGACGATAATTTAGTCGGAAATATCACAATTCAAGAACGGGTAAACTTTAAAAGATTATTCTCACATGAAGGTAAATTACTTCACATAAATTGATTTTTATAATTGCCTTATTTTATTTTATTTTTACGAGGAATGAGATATTTAGTTTAGGGGTGTTGGAAGTCCAGTAGGAGTAGTTTTTTAAAATAGTTTTTATTTGAAAATATATTAAAATAATATTTTTTTAATTTTTTAAAACTTATTTTTAATATAAACAAATCAAAACAATAAAATATATAAAAATTAATTTTAAATTAATCTTTTTGGAAAAATACGATTAAACCACAATAAATAAAGGTTTTTTCAATGAAAAAATATCTCAAGTTAAAAAACAATAAAATTTGATTTAGAAGATAAAAAGCATCAGATTTGGTGTGAAAGATTACACCATGGAGATTATTATTAATTCATTTTCTTATTTTCTTTTCCATGTAAACTCTTCAAATTAATATTTATCATATAGAATTTTTTTTTCTGTTGTGCATACTAAACTGAAAACAAACACAAATAAAATACAAACAAGTAAATTTATATGATTTCTCAAAATCAAGTACGTCCATGGAGACAACAGATTGTATATTATTGAAGGAATAATATAAAACACTCGACTCAACCTAGTATAATTCTATAAAACCCAGTGTTTTATTTATACACTCGTGTTTTTTTTAAATCTGCTCTTCACACTCTTAAAATTTTACTTGTCCTCACCACACTTTCACCTCTTTTGTTTTCATCACGCTTATACTATATTTACACTCTTGCTCTCTCATTGTCTTTATTTATAGGAGAATCTTGGCAACTTGGTTGAGAAATGTGGTTGAAAAAAGAAGAGAGTGATTGATGATGGTTAATGGGCTGTTTAGGAACGCAGTTCAACCTGCGTTTCTAAAAAAATTAAAAATTTTTTATTTTTTATTTTTGTTAAAATCTAATATAATTTGTATATTTTAGATTGTTTTAATGTGTTGATATTAAAAATAATTTTTAAAAAATAAAAAAATATCATTAATATATATTTTGATATGAAAAATTATCTAAAAAATAATCATCATTATGTTAATAAATTGATTTTAAATGGTGATAGGAAATGATGGAATGATGGTTAAATGGTGATTGGACGGTAGTTGAAAGTGGTTGGAAAAAAGTTGATAAATTTACGACATCTTCTTAAAGAACCAAAGGGCTGGCTTGCCTCTCGTCATCAAGATGCAATATTAAATTATCCACTGATTGAACATTCTTTCGTATAAACTGCTACTGCTACTGCCAAACATATCTAAAACCTGAAAAATGAAGTTTGGGAAAGTGTTCACAGCGCAAGCGGTGCCTGAATGGCAAGAAGCATACATGGACTACGATTTTCTCAAGAACCTTTTGAAAGAGATACAAAGTTTCCGAATACGAACCAACCCACCTGCAACCAACTCAGGAGGCCTAAAAAGAAAGCTCACACTATATAGAGCTTTTAGTGGCCTGACACGAAGGAATAGTGCTAACTACACCCCTATGAGCCCTTCTTCTCCTGATCTTGAACTACAACCTATTTTGGTGAATTCTGTAAACCTCGCTGGCTCTCAAAGCTATCAGACTACATTTCTTATGCCTACTGTCCAAGGAGGAGAATACGAGCTTGTGTTTTTCAGAAGGCTTGATGACGAGTTCAATAAAGTGGACAAGTTTTACAGGTCTAAAGTGGAGGAGGTATTGAAAGAGGCTCAGATGTTGAATAAGCAAATGGATGCTTTGATTGCTTTCAGGATAAAAGTGGAGAATCCCGCTGGGTGGTCTGATAGAGTGGCAGATATGACTCGTCTTGCTTCAGACGTTGCAGCTTCTACTGCTGCATTGGCAGCTTCTTCTCCATCTGGAGCTAGAGAACGCAGTAAGTTCCTCGAGTACATGCCTACATATATTACCATTGCCTCCAAAAGTATTTTTAAAAGTCCAGTCATCTTTCTTAAATGCTTTGCTAACTTCGTTAAAATCCTCCTCAATGTGCAGGAAGAGGACTTCATTTAATGGATGCGATTGAGGAAGGGCAAAGCTTGCATGAGCTGTCAGATGAATCAGTCCATGATAAAGTGGAGAAGGAAAGCGATAATATTGACCAAAAGGAAGAAGAAGAAGAAGAAGAGAAGCCGAAGAGCATGGTCAGAACCTTTAGGCCAGCTCCATTAGAAATACTAAATCGTGCGAAGATTAACAACACAGTGGCGACACCTTGCTCGACCATCAAAAGCTTTCTTAAAGTTCCCCAACAAACAGAACTTAAATTTACAAGGGAAAATCTTAGAAAAGTTGAAGAACAACTCAAGGGTGCTTTTTTTGAATTTTACCAAAAGCTTCGCCTTCTTAAGAGTTACAGCTTCTTGAATACATTGGCGTTTTCAAAAATTATGAAGAAGTATGATAAGGTATGTAAATCATCCCTCGGGAATTCAGATTCCTCTTATTCTCTACTTGTATTCTAATCTTCAGGAGAGTTTGATATGTTTTTTCCCCAATTCGCTTTGCATAATTCTGTCAGATTACCACAAGGGATGCATTACAAGTTTACATGAAAATGGTGGATAACTCCTTCCTTGGAAGCTCTGATGAAGTGAGCATAGTTTCTGTTTCATAATGCTCAACAAGACACTAATACATTCAATATATATGTTTTTACTCCTATACATTTTTATTTAACTTAAAATGTATATTCCATCATAGGTTACCAAGCTTATGGAAAGGGTTGAGGCAACATTCGTTAAGCATTTCTCGAACTCAAATCGGAGTAAAGGCATGCGCGTCTTAAGGCCAAAAGCCAACAAAGAGAGACATAGAATAACATTTTACATGGGTACGTAAGATACTAGTTAATATTTATGTTGCAACGTGATTCAAGCATCTTGGTGTAAAAAAAGCTGTTTTCTTTAGATTTTAGATCTTTCAGGGTTGCTATTGATTAGTCGATAATTATTCTGAGAAAATTTGCAGGTTTCTTTTCTGGCTGCACAGTAGCCCTGCTAATTGCCCTTGTTTTAATCGTAAAAGCCCGCAAACTCATGAACAACCCAGGAAGGATCACATACATGCAAACAATGTTTCCTCTTTACAGGTAACACTACTTTTCTTTTAGCATAGGGTCTACAATTACTTTCTACTTCTCTTCGCTCATTTCTTTCAACCTGAAGAACCTTATCCCCAACCTTTCACGTGGCTATAATACATTTGTTTGACAACCTATTGTAGTTTGTTTGGCTTAATTGTTCTACACGTGCTCATCTATGCTGCTAATATATACTTCTGGCGGCGGTACCGAGTGAATTACTCCTTCATTTTTGGTTTCAAACGAGAAACCGAACTGGGCTACAGACAAGTTCTTCTTCTCGGTTTTGGTATTGCAGTACTAGCTTTATGCAGTGTGCACTTAAACCTCGACATGGAGATGGACCCTAAAACGAAAGATTACGAAGCGCTTACAGAACTTCTCCCTCTGAATGTGTTGATAGTAAGATTCTTACAAATACTTATTTAAAAAAAAAAAAAAAGTTCTCTCTTGTTTTTCCCTCGACCTCCAATTTTTCGTGCATCAACTGATATTTTGCTTTCCCTGTAGTTCCTCCTCATCATGTTGCTCTGGCCCTTCAACCTTTTTTATCGCTCATCTCGCTTCTTCCTCCTCACGTGTATCTTTCACTGTATTGCTGCTCCTCTCTACAAGGTGGAAATTGGTGGCAGGAAATCACAACATGTGGATATGGAACTTAAATTTTTCGCTTACTAATTTTCTTGTAATTTTTTTTCCTCTGCAGGTAACACTCCCGGATTTCTTCTTGGCAGACCAACTAACTAGCCAGGTTAGTTATCAGCCTAGGCTGTATCTCAACAGTTCAAAAACTTGTATTTCAGAAGTGAAAAAAAAACATCACTGTATTGATGTAGGTGCAATCCCTCAGAAGCCTGGAGTTCTACATTTGCTATTACACTTGGGGGGACTATAAACAAAGACGGAACAATTGCAAAGAAAGTCCTGTTTTCATAACTTTCTCATTCATTGTTGCTGTGATTCCATACTGGTCTCGCCTTCTTCAGGTTTGCAAGTAGCTAGCCTAGCTGTCTGTGTGTCTAACCTGCCGAGCTTTTAAAACTTTCAAACATGATTTCTTTTTGAAATGTAGAAGCGATCACCACCAATTGAAATCACATCAAAAAGTTTTCCTCTTTGTTTCAGTGCCTTCGGCGCTTGTTTGAAGAGAAAGATCCGATGCAAGGATACAACGGATTGAAGTATTTTTTGGCAATAGTAGCTGTTTGTTTGAGGACAGCTTACAGCATTAACAAAGGGAATGGTTGGAGAGCAATAGCATGGGTTTTCTCATCCATTGCAGCAATCTTTGGCACATATTGGGATCTTGTTTTTGACTGGGGGCTTCTTCAGCGCCATTCTAAGAATAGATGGCTGAGAGACAAGCTCCTTGTCCCTCACAGATCAGTATATTTTGGAGCCATGGTTAGTAGCAAAAGGAGGAACCAGAAAAAAAAAAATACCCACAGTTGATAAATCTTAACTTCCCATAAAACTAAATCACTCCTAAAAGGAACATTCATTTGATTTACAGGTCTTGAATATATTGCTGAGATTTGCTTGGCTGCAAACAGTATTGAACTTCAGGGTTACTTCCTTGCACAAAGAAACAATGGTTACCCTTGTGGCCAGCCTCGAGATCATTCGCCGTGGCATGTGGAATTTCTTTAGGTAACAAAAATTTTAGTTGTGAGAAGTTGAAGATCCTTAGTTACCAAGAATCTCTTCAATTTTTTGGTTGAACTGTCAGGTTGGAAAATGAACATGTGAACAACGTTGGAAAATATCGAGCATTCAAGTCTGTGCCTTTACCTTTCAACAACGTGGAAGATGATGACCACGATGACTAAGCTTTGCCACAACATTTAACAAAGCTGGAGGCAATAAAGAAATGAGAGCCATTGCACATGTTTTGACAATGGAAAAGGCAAGATTTTTAGACAAAACAAAAAACTAGTGGCAACAGAGGAATCTAGATTGTAAATTTTTGTATCGCACTATTATATACCTTTCTATTTGACTTCAAAGCAAGTCCAAAACTATAAAGCAACGCCGTCCATGTTTCTCCAAATGATATTTCAGTCTTTTTTTTTTTTTATTTACGTGAAGTGTTTGAGCTAGCTTGCACACCATGTCCATGTTTCTCCAAATGATATTTCAGTCCTTTTTTTTTTTATTTATGTGAAGTGTTTGAGCCAGCTTGCACGCACCATGATTAATCCCCACAGCCCACTAAATACCCTGCAAACCCAATAGGTATGTAAGGCACCACAAGAATGGCAGACGTGCACGTCAGGGCTCGAATCCAGATGCAGTGAAAGGAGATAAGCCCTTTTCACCGCTAGGCCAAGTACTAAACTAATTCAAGATTCTAAGTTATTGAATTATCACAGTTATATTTATCATTTTTATTTAAAATCATCTTGTTTTGATTTTTTTAAAAAAACATTTCCTTGGTGTTGCAGGTGAATATTCGGTTACGGAGCAACCCATTCTTTTTCTTTTTCTTTTCCTATCTTTCCTTCTCGTTATCTTGTTTTTCATGCCTAGAACTTTAAAAAACTAAATTGTGCTGTTAAACTTTACTTTCATTCATATGTAGTTCTATTTTTTAATCAACAGTTTTATTTTTTTCAATTTAATTTTTAGTTTATTGAAAATTGTATTTTGTTATTATTTTTATTTATTGTTTTATAAAATAACGTTTTTTTATAACCCATGTAAAGTTTGCAAAATTTGTCTAAATTGATATGAGTATTTTTTTTGTTTTTTTAATTAATTTTTTTAATTTTATTCTTTAATATTGAATTTATTTAAAATTAAGAATAATTATTTTCTTTATTTTTGTTTCTCTGAAGTTTTCATTGTTATAACTCAAATTGTGAGTTTATTAGTGTGTTTTTTTTAAAAAATATTTTTTATATTTTTTATATTTTTTTATTTTTTAATATTAAATTAAATGATAAATATTTGTTGTCGATGCATGCTATATAAGTATTTGGAAATGTAAGAGAACGTTAAGTTCTTTGAGTAAATTTCTAGACCTTTTCGTATATTTGAAAATGATGCGAGATTCATATAACGGGTTTGACCGTTTGCAAAACAATAAACACACAGCAAATCTATGAGATCAGGTGCAATAACATCTTTCATGGGTAGAATTTGTGCAGATCATTGGAAAACTGCCACTGTAGTGTTCTAGAGGAAGAAGTTTCTGATAGAATTCGATTAGCGCAGCTGCTCTTCAACGTTCTTCAGATCCTCTGTCTTGAAGCTCAGCTCCTATTCTTTAGAATCCTTAAAGACACCTTTTATGGTTGGTAGTGGAGGATTTAAGAGAATTATTAATCTTCTCGCGTTCAAGGATTTTCAGAGGATCTTCTTTGTAGTCAATGTGGATGTCCCTCTCTTGGTGAGGATTACCATAATTTGTGGCATTAATTTCATTTACTCCCGGACAATGAGTAGACTCTTCTTGGTCATAATCATTTCTTCTATCCATCTCAATGGTCGATTCCATATGCTCCCTTCCTGCATATTGGAACAAAATTTTAAGTCTGAACTTCTTAACCGGAGGAACCCATTGTAACTGCGATAAGATCAGAGAGATGCATCACCACTCTGTTCGTAAGTAGATTTCTCTGGCTGAAAATCGTTATTCATCTCAACTCCGCATCCAACATCCATATCCTCCAATCCTGAAAATAATATTGCATACAATACTGAACTATAGTCCTTCACAGACTTGTAACCAAAATATCTTGCAGATTTGAATTTACGGGGTGAGGTGGATCAAAAACTTCATAAACTCAGCCAATAAAAAAATCCTTTGATTATAGCTTCTTTTGCTATTTAACCATCTTAAAACAGCTGAAATCACTCTTGGTCCATTTTCCTCATCTCTCCATGGTTTCTTGCTTCTTATTCAACATATAAAAGGCCCTATTGATGCTTTGCAACTCAATTGACAAATCACACTTTATGTTCTCATACCCGAAGGTGTGTCTCTGCTTGGGCTACAGCTCTTCAAGGGGTTTGTGGTAACAACACCAGTATCACAACTTTTCTTCGCATAAGAGTTTTCAAAACCAGAGCTCTCCACCTTAATCCGCAAGGCAATACAGGCATCCATTTGTTTATTCAGCAAAGATGCTTCATCTCGTCCATCTGATCCTTGTAAAAAGTGTGAAACTTGTTAAGTTGTTCATCAAGTTTCTTGAAGAACTTAACCTCTAGTTCGCCTCCTTCTTCAGACTCCCTCTGGAAATGAGTCGTGTAAAACTTTCTACAACCATCTTGGGGCAACGCATTAACATCTATCTCTTGGTCCTCAATATCTCCTTTACTGGAGAGATTGGTAGATCAAGGGTTTAGTCCACTGAAGTCTGAAGGGTCTGTGCAAAGTTGCTTTGTGGTATATGGATCTCAAAGGTGTTGAGGGTTGCCTGCTTTGCTTGTAGCAAGATCTCTGCCCGTATTCTTTTTAAGACCATTATAATCCATGTAAGCACCAGTCCACCTTTTGTTGCTTGAAATGCTTTCCGAACTCCATCTTTCCGTCGTCTCTTCCAGATTCACCTTCACTATATATGCCTTTGATACTTATTATTGCTATCTGTATCCAAGAGATTAATAATGCATGTTTAGTTCAGCAAAACAAAAGAATAGACTCTGGGATTATCTTTTAGCATTAATTAGGAAGGCTAAAAATAAAGCAAACACTTATATTAATTACTCAAAGGTAGCCAAAATGACTTCATGAAGACAATTTTAGTATAATTGATTATAATTACCTTCGTTTTTCTTTGAATAAACAAGACGATAAAGCCAAAAAGAATTTTCATAGACTCGGCAACCCACATTGCCATTGAAGATTTCTTACTTGTGTCCGTCTCTCTCCCCTTCTTCTTGCAGAGGTGGTGTCATCTTATAATGTGCCCTATGAAAGATGCACTCTGCTACCCTCCCTCCAGTTAGTTACGCTAAAAAAGATAATAAAGAATCCGATGCTCCTACTACCAATGCACTCGTCTAGTTTCGAGCAATCAGACCCTTGATTTTGACGTTTGATTTGAAGCCTCTCGCCTGTGACGGAATTACAATGTATTGTTTCGGTGCGATGTTGTCTGATTCCAGCTAGTGGCGCCACACGAGCATTTCGTGGATCGCTTGGGAGGTGAAACGTCTCTTGGGGCTGGAGGGAGAAAGAAGAGGATGCGGGGGTGCAGTCAGCATTTTATGAAACCGAGAAATTTTTCTTGTACACATTTCTTGTGCTGCGTGTGCTAACCTAGTCACCTGTTCGTCGGCCCACAGAGCTAGCTAATTAACTTGGGTAAATAATTCCTAGACTTTCAAGTCATATGAGCATCAATTAGGAAACCCGAAACCCTACCTATCACAGAACTCATTAAATTTTGATATTTTTAACCCTTCAATCAATGGCTGCCAGTGGGGTTTCCTACTTGGCAAATTTCTCTTCCTTGAACCAATATTCAAAATTGTAATTCATGCCGAATCTTGTTGACTCCTTTCTTATTATTACTAAACCAAAAAATTTTAATATTTTTAAAAAAAGATGATTATATTTTTAAAAAATAAGAGAAATTTTAATAATCAAATTAAATTTTGATTAATTGGATAATAAAATAAAAAAATAAGGACAATAAGAATAAAAAAAATAAATTAAAAAATTATTCTAAACAAAGCTAAGTTAACATGTAAAATTTATAATTTGAATATAAAATATGTTCAAATTTCATGTTTAGTATGTATTCTAAATAATGAAATTGAGATAACTCAATATAAAATAATAATAAATAAAGATAAAACTAAAAAAATTAAAAAAAAATATAGATTAAGATATTTAAAAGTGTGACTCTAGTCATTTACCGAGTCATGTTTAATGAATTTTTTATTAAAATTAATTTTTAATAGAAATTAATACACACATAAAATTTATTTAATAAAAAAAAGAAAAACAATATCATGTAAGTTGCATACATAAAAAAAATATCATAAAAAATAAATATTTTATTAATATTTTATTTTAATCATTTTCTTTTAATAACTTTTTTAATCCTTTCTTATATTTTTTAATTTGATTTTTTATTTTTATTTTTATTTTTATTATGTAACATTAAATATATTAAGAATTAAATTTCATAATTTTTCTTAATGCAGTTATTCTAATTTTATGACCCTGATTACTAGTATAAAATATTAACCTAAATTGAAATGAATTCTTTTTTTATATATTTTTTTTTTCAATTTCAACTTTTAACATTAATTTTTTAAAAAATTGAGTTTTTTTTTAATTTCAACTTTTAACATTAATTGTTTTTAAAATTGAGTTGTTTTTATTTTTTATTTTATTTTTACGAGGATTACATGACCTCATGAACTAGGTTATGAGTTTATCACACCAACTCAAATTAAATTAAAGTTTTTTTTTGTTATGTTTCATTTTCAATTGGTTTTTTTGTTATTTTTTAATTTAGTTTTATAATTGTTTAAAAAATATTATTTTTTTACCTCTCATCATTATTATTTTTCTTATTAGATTATGTATATTGTTGTGTTTTTATAATATAATCAAATCAAAACTATTTTATTGGACTAGTAGGATATATAACTCAACTTATAAGATTATTATTTTATTTTTTTGCTTTAAAATTCGTTATCAGTGTTTGAACATTATTTTTTCAAGTTAAAAAAAAAAAAATTGACTCACCACACTACAAAACGCGCCTATATAGTTTTTATCAGTTTTTTATATTCACGGCAGGAATTCAGGAGACGCCCATATTTTTATTTTTTTAAAAAAAAAAAGAAAAGAATTCAGGAGACGCCCATATTTTTATTTGTTTTTTAAAAAAAGAATCACTCAAAGCCCAAATTATCTTCGAAGCCCAAACCAAAGTCACAGCCCTAACTCTCAATTCCTAACCGACGAGGTTCCCCTTCGTTATTTCTCCATCGTTAGCAACACCACCACCTAGAGAAGTGAAAAGTCAGTGAAGAGAAACACAGAGACAGAGAGAGAGCAGCCATGTCGTTCATGAAAGGAGATTTGCTAACAAAAACCAGAAAGCTCGTCAAAGGCTTAGCCAAATCCGAACCTGCCTGGCTCAAAGCCATGGAACAGTCAGTCTCTCCCTATTTTTTTCTTTAATTATAACAAAAGAAAATCATGATCAATTTCTTTCTGTAATGCTTATTAATTGTGTAATAATCCAGTGCACCACCAGCGGCATTTCCTAGATCAAGTGGAAAAGTTGAGAAGATCAGTCTTCCAGAGGATCCTTATATAAAGAAATTCTTCTCCAAACATCCTGATTCCAAACACGAAGATGCCATCCTGTATTCTTCTTTCTTTTATTCATTTACTGCATGCATAAGTTTTTGCATCTGACTTTGGGATTCCGTTCTCCCCTATTGATTTGCGTGCCAATTGTGAGTTCAATTTTTAGGTCCTGGAGAATACTGATTTTATGATTTAAGAATTCATTAGCTTTAGCTTAATTTTATTTACGTTCTGATAGTTTTTTTTTGTTTCTTTTTTGAAATTTTCAAGTTGGTCTGGTTACTTGTGCCCTGATTAAGAAATGAGGCATCCAAGAATAAATAGCTTTTCTTATGTTTCTCCTTGAACCCGTGCTTTCTATTTTGGTTGTTGAGATTGTTTTTGAAAGGAAAAAACTCCGTTGGTAAAGTTCATTTATATAGTGTTATGTATGGCTATTGATACTTATGCTTTTGCATTTCAATTTGAGATTTTGGTTCTTGTTAAGGTCGACAAAGCAAAAAAATACAAGGCAAAAATGGATAAAGGTTGATCATATATAAAGAGCAGAGGAATGGATAAATGTAAAAGAGTTTGCTTCAATTGTGTTTTTTCTTTGTATAGGATTTCATCTTTTGATCCCCCTCCTGCTCGTATTTTTGGTTGGCGGGTACTTGAGCTGAAGGAGCAGGGAGTTGGTGAAGAAGAAGCCATGGCTGTAGCTGATGTATGGTTTCTGGATTCATGGATTTTGCTTTACCTATGAACATGATATGATCTCTTTCCTTTTGTCCTCTTATCCTTATGTTGTTTTAACTGTCTGTTTCTTTTTCTTTTTCCCGGGGGGCTCTAGATGGAATATCGAATGGAGACAAAGGCAAAAAAGAAGGCTTATGCTCGATTGAAACAAATTGCTAGACTTCAAGGGACAACACCTCCTCCCAACCCATATCCCAGTGTAATTAAGGAGATACAAGCAGAGGAGGATGTGTATCTTCGGGAGCGTTATACCAATCCCAAGATAATTGCAATAGCGGAGAAAATGAAAGCGGATGAGGCCGCTAAGGAACGAGAAAGAGACAGATTCAGAATTGACTGGTAATTTTAGAGTGGCATGCATCTTTTCCATTGCACAAGATGTAACAACTGCTCCACTGGAGATTCGTATGTTTAACTTCATTTTATAGCAGATCTAGCATTTGAGATTTTTTTGGTATATTTACATGCCGTCAGATTTTGTTCGGTATTAAGTCCCGAGCCCAGACGGGGATTATTTGAATTGGAGATCAGTGTAAGATTCTACTTTGCATACCATCATGCTTTATCATTAAGTTTTTGCTATGAAATCTCTTTAAGAGCGAAATAAAATTTATTACTTTGTATCGTGTCCCTGCGTGTTGAGAATTGAGACCAACGGATTCCAGATAAGGAATGTCCTTTTAGCATAAGAGTGAAAAGGGCCACGCGGGGGCCGATTTCCTTGCTCTTTTAGCCTCCGCCAAATATGTGTCTTCGTCACCCCTGCAGAAACCATTTAAATACTCTTGCAGTCCTTATTATGGTGAGTGAGGTTGCAAAATTTTTTATCGTGAGCAAGATGGGCTGCTCTAGAATTGCAATGTCATGGAAATGGAGAGCCACAAGCTTTTCAGGCAAAGAGCAAATTGAAGATATGGGGTAGGCAATTTAGATGGCAGTGTTCCTCTGGGTTGATTTAAAAAACGTTGGTTTGCCCATTGATTTTTCCAAGAAAAAGAATAGCAATATCAGCTATCAGGATTCCCAAGGCAAGGGGGAGAGATTTTCCTGTACTTTAACTAGCTTTCAACCTAGGCACAGAGAGACACCATTTGCCAAAAGAGCATCATGCTCTCTTTGTTTGACACACAATGATATACCGCTGACCGCTATTCAGGGAGGTATGGGGCTCAGCTAGACATCTCTCATTGCAAACATGAGCAATGTTACTTATGTGAAGTACATTTGATAGTGTCTCCTCTTATCCTGGCGAAAATTACATGGGACATGGCAAAGCTCTTCTGCCGTATAACTGCGCAGCTGCCCCCGCCCCTGTCCAGCCAATAATAACAATAATAATAATTATGGGCTCAAGATACACAGGCAAAGAGGTTGATGTCTTATTACATCACAAGACATTATCCTAAATGATACTTTCAGGTTATACCTGTCCACTGCTTGCCTTCGCCAGGGCTCAAGGCTGGTGAGCGGACAAAGAATAACCTATCTTCTTCATCTTCATAAATTCATTTCGACACTGAAAAAACAAACGAGCCATTATGTCCGCGGAAACAAAAGGTGTCTAAACACATATTTGATATTTCTCTAACAAGGGGTTCAGGAATCCTCCATCAGAAAGGCAGCTCCATCAATTTTTTCTCCCTTCACACAAAATTATGTGATACCCATGTCTGCACCAATGTAGAACTAGTCATCATAGAGAAGCTAGCAAATTTGCGTATAATCATAGAGTAACTGAAACGCAGTGATGAATCTTAAACCAGGAGAATATGGCGAAGATAAAATCTACGAAAACATAGCATCAAGAAAGCGAAATTACAATGTTACATCACAGGTATAAATTATAAAATAAAACGACGGTCATAAAAATAACATATGCGGCTGACGGCAGAGGGAAATATTGGGATAGAATCAGGATTACAGCGAGGGAGTATCATTCTGGTCAATCGAATATGACACAGAAACTTTTATTTCCTCAATCTTTCGTGGACAATTGAACAATAATGTGAATGTTTTACTCTCCTAACATACTGTTTGTTTAGATGGAATTATTTGTTTTGAGTAAAATGATTTATGTGTGTTCGATGCAACAACCTTTTATCCACATGTCTTTCCATATTTACTCATGTTCTCAACTAGCTTTGAATGTGAATCCCCTCTAATTAAATCAAAAAAAATGGAAGTGATCAACATGGAAGGACATGCATGAATATTTTGGGCATTGCAGTTTATTCTCAAAATTCTGTCATGCATGAATATTTTGGGCATCGCAATTTATTCTCAAAATTCTGTCATGCTTAATGGTGAAAGATAGTTTGCATATAAAGGCATGGAGACTCTGCCGCATAGCAAGCTGTGGTCAAAATGATTCTAGCAGTAGAGA